GGCGGGGCGGGGCGGACCGCGGCGGTGGCCCGGATTTCCCCGGGAAAATAAGACACGGAGCGATCTCGCACCAAATCATTGCAGCGTTCGGGAAATCTCATGTTTAACAATGAATTCCAAAACCACTACATAGAGTACAACTAGCTTCTATCAAGAAATAACTGTTTTCTTCATACTACATATTATCTTTAAAAAAAATTACAGCATTTACAGTTAATTAAAAAAAAAAGAAAGAGTCTTACAGCAATTACAACTCTTTTATTATCTCAGGAACAGAAACAGCAAAACAAATCACTGTATTAGGAAAGCTATTTCAGTTACATCTTTGGTATTATACAGTTAAACTACCACATTTTAGAAACTATGAATAGGAAAAATATATAACAATAGCAAAAAATTAAAGCTTTGTCATTTAAATATTGCATAGGCACCATATGCTTTTTCATTACATTCTTTAATAAAGGACTAATAAACTAGGTGATAGGTAATAAACCCAGGTATCCTGTAGTGATAAAACAAGGATCCTCACCCCATGAATACCCTAGAGGTACATTTGGTACAAAGACATACTTTTATTCCCATTCTTGCCTAAGAGCTTGTCCAGTTATTATCCAAAAAAAAAAAAAAAAAATCAGGATGCTTAGGAACACTGGGAACAGGCTCCAAAGCCTCCTCTCATGTCCAGGGAATGTATCACAACATTAAATGGATGAGTGTGGAATTAAAAAAAAAAAAAAAAAGGATGTGAGCAAAAAGGGGGAGGGGAGCTGATGCACTCCAGCCTCGTCAGAAACAAAATTAACTTCTTTTCCCATGAGATGTCACTGCCTGACTTGCTGCAGGGTGGCCACAAAAAGTGAAGCGAAACAGTGAGTAGATGGACAGATGAAGCGTTCACCAAGCAAGTGGGAAGTTTCTTGTGTCAGCAAGAAGTTAGAGACCTCTGCTCTCAGGTGCCTGGGGCAGGAGAGCTGCTGTGTGTGTCTAAGTGGCTCTGTTATTCTATTCAAGCCTGAGATGAAGACCACATAAGCCGACTGAGGCACAGGTGAAAGAGACAAGAAGTGCAAAAAGTAGCCCTATTCTAAAGAAACAGAACGCTATTGTGCAATGGTGGCTCTTCTGCCAAGACATCTCCTTTTTAGGGAGAGCAAAATCTGCCACAGAAGAGAATGCTCGAAGTTTTGTTGTGCCGGATGAAGAAGAGGAAGGGATGATCAGCAGTGAATTCTGGAACGATCATCGCACAGCGCATCATCATCACTCCTGCCGTGGCAGCTGCCGCTTCAGTGCCTTCTTCGTTGACTTCCACAAAGGACTTGTGAACTACTTCAGAGAGCACCAGCTCATTGCCAGCCGAGATTCCCGAGAAGTCTGCCTTCCTGACGTCAAATGCGTCAGGCATTCCCATACTGCTCAGAAGGGGTTTCAGATCATAATCTTCTTCCAGTTTAAATCTGGGCAGAGACACCCTCACCTCCGTACAGTCCATCATTTCTGGATTGATCCAATCTATCAGCTTCTCATACGTAAGTTCTCTTTCCAGCTAAAACAAACCCCCAAAGTTACATAATTAAAATGAAAAGAGTCAGTTTTACATAGCCAAAACTGATGACTACTGTGTTTGTTTACATAGTGCATCATATGCAACTTTTTTCCAGGGTTTAGAGGGCCTCAAGCCAAAAGTCAATTTCTACTTCTCATGGGAGACTACAGCCCCAGTTGAAATCAATCTGATATGCTTTTTGGTAGATAAAATAGGGATCAGCCCCTTCCACAAAGTTTACTTTTAGAAACATGTTAGATTGGGGGTGGTGGTGGGGGGTTTTTTGGTTTGTTGTGGTTGTTTTAGGGGTTGGTTTTTTTTTTTAATAAACATTTTTACATGTGGGAAGCAACCCATATGTAAAAATGCAGAAAAAACATTTGCCTTCACCATAACCACAGCTAACCTCCTGAGGAGGGTCAGGTCTTCTTCCAAAAGCCTCTGGCTAAAGGGGCAGTACACAGCATGACCAGTCGCGATACAAGGCACAGCAATCACTTTGGGGGCAGGGAGGTATGGGACATTTGAGCTGGTGTTGAGCACCAATGGCATAACAGCTTTGGAACTGAACTGCAGGTCTATACGCAGTATCAAACTCTTCCCTGGAAGGACAGGGACTGTCTTTGCATTCAGCTTAACAACTTACGCTTTCCAAGCCAGTGGATTCATCCTTGATTGCATCAGGGAGCAAGATGATCATGCTGAGTTCATTACCAACATAAGGGAGCTCAAGGATTTTGGTCTTGAAGTCTCCAATATAGGTCATGTTAAATCTATCCTTCTTGAACATCATCTGCACAGGTTTGGTCTCATTCTAAAAAATAATGAGATGTCAACAGTTAGTGCTGAGCTAGTATGCTGGCCTGAAAATACAAAGCAGGCATCCAGTTACTCGGGTTTTTTAGAATTTGACTGAAGAAAACTAAACACACCACAGAGTACAGTCCCACCACTGTCTTTAGTAAAGCAAGAGATAAGAAGTAAGGATCCCTGAGATTTAATTTTTAATTACTAACCTGGAAATGACTGTGAAGTTTCCTTTAAGGCAAAGAGGGGAGGACACATAAATATGCTCACTTAAGAATTAGTGACAAGCACTAAACAGAGCTGTTACAAAGCAGGGCCTGTGGTCCTTGCTTTAAATGAATACAAAATAATTTAAAATAGGTATTTTCATTTTTAGTCCACATGGCTTCAAGTGCTGTAATAGAGAGGAATTAAAATACTTTAAAGTGATCCTAAAAATGCCAAGAATGTCAGAGTATTATTTTGAATTCTCAAAAGTCACACAGATAGTAAGGAGGGGAAAGATTTTTCTTCTCAATTTCATTCTCTATCTCCTATTTTCACACAGAGCACCAGCTACTATGGTTTACATCGTTACTTCCTCCTTTTCAGTTAAGGGTTTCATTTCCTTCTTCCTCACCTTCATGAGATAACCACACAAGTAGTTTCTTGCTTTTAAAATAAAGCCCATTGAAACAATGCCCACAGAGGATATGGCAGAAATTATTTTGCAGCAGAAGCGACACATGAAAAGGATGGATAAGCAAAGAAAAGACCACACAGCCTGTGAAAAATCATCTAGTGAGTCACAGAATCACAGAATCTTCAGAGTTGGAAGGGACCTCTAGAGACCATCGAGTCCAACTTCCCTGCTAAAGCAGGATTGCCCAGAGCACATTACTCGGGACTGCATCCAGGTGGGTTTTGAAAATCTCCAGAGAAGGAGACTCCACAACGTCCCTGGGCAGCCTGTGCCAGTGCTGTCACCCCTAACTGTAAAGAAGTTTTTCCATGTCATAAGTGCACAAGTCACAGAAGTAATGGTACAGGATGCTGGAAAGGCTCCTGGGATGCTAAAGTAAATCTTTGCTACTGCACAGATTATACAATGTCAAGCTTAAGCTTCAGGTTACACCCAGGATTTCCAAATGCTCGTTTCAGCCTACTGACAGGCTTCTGCAGCTCATGACTAGCTAGTCATTAGTAGGATGAAAATGGAAACTTA